GTCAAACGTATTCGTCTGCTTGACCCTAGACGACCTAGAGTAGCTTAAGTTCATCGTGATGTAAAGTAGTCACACCTACTGCAAGTGATAGTACCGCTTTCTTTTGGCATGTCCTTGAGCAGAAACTTAGACCAGGAAAAGGATATTTATCAGACATATCAGTTAGAAAAACAAGCAGGCTTAAATCTTCAGTGGCTTAGCAGCTAAATACGTGAGAACTCTAGCGTCATTGATGCCTACCGAAGAAGAGATAATGTAATGGCAAATAGTGATCTGCGTTAGAGTACCAATAGTTTATAGACCCAGCATCCAATACAATAAGCAGATCGTTGAAAAGATGAAGAACAAACTTCGTGAACTAGCGATAGCGTACTATGGCAGGGAAGACTGATGAATAATTTCATCAATATTTGATTTTCACCTTACGCACAATATTAAAATATGTTTATTAGCCGGAGAAATATGTTAGATAGCGCATAACTCATTCAAGACCAGGTTACCTTGGGTGTTGCATCGATTTCTTTCTTCTAGTTATCTAGTGATTGGGGAGTATATTGGTAGGCCACTGCTCAAAAGTATTTGAGCAGCTGCAATTCTAGATGCACATCGCATTATTCTGTTCGCTAGGGTTTACCGAACGCTCATTACGAAAGATGTTTCATGAGCTGCCAATCTTTATATTCTATCACTTAAATATAAAACTATGTTCAGTTCATGTGCCAATAAAATAGATAAATATGCTGGACTGCTTCAAATAAGGCATAACTTTTTCAGGATCAAGTCCGTGGACGAATGACACAACCCTTATGCAATATTTGTAAGGAGTACCTGCCCCAATAACATCGCTCACAATCAGCACGAAGTGGCTCTAACGAAGATATGATGCGAGACGTATTTGGAACTCAAGGTACTCAAATTCATTGGATCCAGAGCCTACTTAAATAACCTCGAAGGCAATTAGAAGCAAGACAGCGGTACAATACGCTAGGAAGTCTTGACTTGGAGGAGCCGTGAGTCATCGTTACTTTTTATAGGTTTTAGTACTCGCTTTAAAACTGGTCCAAAGCACGTTCGTAAGAAACTGTACTGTTCTTTAACTAGCAAAAAGTGCTTTGCATTCATTTCCAACTTGCTTCAAATATTCGTTATTTGCATAACGATTAAGTTGGCCTATCACAGTCAAAGCAAGAGCTGCGGATAAACCTTACTTGGCTGGGATGCTTAATGGAAACTTTACATATTTATTTTTGCGTGAAAACGCTTCATTTAACGGTCAGACGTGGCCCTTGGCAATGCAATCGATCACAGTATGAGTTGAATGCTTCCTTTGCTCCACTTGACTATTGTTCCTTTTGAGAAAACATGCGAAAAAGTGGTTGTCGAAAAGATTTTCTACATTCGCCTAGTCGATTTAAATACACATCAGCTGATTAAGTATTAGTTCAGATGGCAAATGATTGGCATGCGGACTGGAAACCACTAATCGCCGTTTTCTCGTAACGAAAGTTATTCTTTGCTATAACTGGAATATGTGAGGCAGATGTTGGCGATTATGAGACATTTGTCACTGAATAGAGTTTCCAGATAATATCAACCACTGTGATCGGTTATTACCAGCTGAAAATGGAAAAAAAGAGCTGCTTGTTCATTGCTATAATAGCAAGTCGTTTTTCTCCATCCACTCGCTTAGAAATAGTTTGCCAGCTGTCTGCATATGCCTCCTAGGGTCTAGTTGATGCAGTCTTTTGGCAGTAGATGACATTTACTCAAAAATTGTAATTTTGCCCAACATACTTTTACTTCCTGATGTCCGAACACTCCTGTCACCGTATCACGTGCCTGCCGTGTGCAAAGCAATCATTTCGCGATTGGTTGTGCTTCTTTTCGTGGGAGAAAGCAGTTGCGGTAGTTGCATTCGGATGATCGAAATAGCCATGGCTGTCGCACTACGATTAGTAGAAATTATAGAAAGGAGGACTGGGATGGCTATTCGAAAGCTGTGTTGCAACAGTGCTGAAAATCCGGTGCTGTTCGGTTTAACGATTAAGTGAAGCAATTGGTGCATTGCCTTTGTCGATATGACTGAAAAATAGATCTGCACATAGATTGCCAAATTTCGTGTTCATAAAGCATGTCACTTTGTCGGTTTTCCTCAAGAGCTTGTTTGTCAGCGTCAGACTGATTAAACTAACAATCGCGGCTTGTTGTTTCTGTTGAAGTACTCTGTTCGCAACTAGGTTTCAGCAATAACAGTCATCGTTCTCCCGTATTTGCCCGACGTCCGTTCAGCAATCAGCAAACACTGTACTGCACTTGACTACTTGATACAAAACGACTGATCTACGCCATGACAGCGGACGTCGGAATTGCGACTTATCGTTCTACT